TCAGAACCTGCAGCGCCACGAGTCTTCAGGTGCACCGGTCCAGTCAGCAGCCCTAAAATCCAAACCAGGCTCTACGATTTGTCGGGCAGCGGTCTGTGGTAGAGCTGGTAAAACGCGCCAGAGTAAACGGCAGGAAGCTCCTCCATGGTGAGGTCGATGGTGTGGAAGCCCCGGTCCAGGCCGAGGAGCAGCAGCCCGGCGACCCGTGAGGTGATGGGTGTGGTGCTGCTGGTGCGGGCGAGCTCGCCGACGTCCATCCACTCGCAGCGCAGGCACTCGCGGGTGCAGAAGTCGATGCGGTGCGTGAGCGGGCTCAGCCGGCAGATGGCGTACAGGTCCGACATGCCGAAGGCGTTGGGGTGGTGGTGCTGCTGCCGCACGCTGAGCAGAGATCTGAACTCGGAGCGAACGCCGGTCTCTTCAAACACTTCACGCACGGCGGTGGCACCTGAGAGACATCAACGTTTACAGAGTGAAAGATCCCGACAATTAAAAATATATTTATAGTCCTTGGACGAGGAGGTGAAGAAAGAGAAAGTATAATTTCTTTTTAGAAACACGAGTTCAACGCTGCTCATGTACAAACTTTTATAGCTGCTTTTAAACTCAAAACATAAGTTTGGACGTTGTGTAAAATATTAATAAAAACAGAATGATCTCATGAACCCATATTTGATTCAAAATGGAACAGTCAACGAATCAAACGTTTCAACTAAAACAAGGTGCCTTTTATTTTTACGAGATCGTTTTGAGTTTGATGGCAGCGGCACGATCTAAAATAGTTGAGACGAGGCAACGAGACTGAACGAGCGTTTGGTAACTCCGAAGTAAAGATGGGCAGAGGTTCACCCGTCTCTGAAAACATGTGACTAGAAATAGCCGAACTGTTTCAGAATAATGTTCCTCAACAAAAACTGAGAGGACTTTGAATCTCCATCATCTCCAGTTCATAATCTGACCCTCAGATTAGAAGAATCTGCAGAAATCTGAGCTCAAAGGACGAGGCTGAAGGTCAAACCTGGATGGTGTTCAGGCCCTCAGGGGCCAGGTCTGGTTCTGTTCTGGGCTCAGGAACACTTCCACAAATCATTGGCTGTGAACACACCCACAGATGCCGCTTAAAGCTCTATCAGGCAAACAAGAAGCCAGATGTGAACCAAAACCCAACCTCCAGCAGCAGCGGATCTCTTCAGGTCCTGGGAGATGCTTCAAGATGTTAAACCTGCAACAAGTTTTTAAAGATGTGTTTCTGCCATCAAACTCACTCACAAACTTTATTATGTTTCCAATGTTTCACTGTGAATAAAAGTAGAGCCTGACTGAAAGACCAGCAGGACCGATATTTTAGGCCATTATAGACGTTTGGGGACATATCGCTATCAGTGATAATGGTCCCAGTATGTGCTGATAGAAGCACTTCTAATTTTCACTCCTAAATGCTGGAACCAGCCGTAATTGTACAATGTAACCAGCAGAGGGCGCACGAAGACAACTTAAGTTTCACTTTCACGTTCAGCACAGCCGAAGCAGGGAGCAACACTGTGCAGCATATTTTGCACCATAGACCATGGTAAGTTTATTTTAACTGATCTATAAAATAATAAATCAACAATAATAAATTAATAATAAATAATACATTTTCCACAACGTCCCAACTTGTTCCGAACTGGGGTCGTGGAAAGGAGGACCATGGAGGAAAAAAAAAACGAGTACACAGAATATTATACTTTGTTTTGTACAGTGCAGATGATGTATTAGTTTTGAACGAGCGTATTATTAAACTCAACGGTTTTTGTTAGATGTGCTGTGTTAGTTGCTGCGTCACTCACCGATATTTTCTCCTGGATCGGACAAACCACCCGGAAACTTCCAGACGTTTTTTGTCTGAAATGAAAAAACAAAGTTAACAGAAAGTGTTTGAATTACAGATTTCATCATGTAAACGGCAATAATTCCTGTTTTATTAAAGGAGAATGTTCGGTTTGTGTCAAAGGTGGCGAAACAAGTGACTTGTTTGTAGACGTTGCGCCTCTTGACATTTAGCTGCGGTGATTCATAGAAAGCGGTTATATTTTAAAAACACTATGCTGCTGGTTAAGTTATGAGTGTACGTATATTTTAGTAATTCACGTTCTAACGTTTAGTTTTTTGTGAGGAATACAAATGCACTACAGCTTTTAGTTCTAAGAGAAGCTGCAATATGTTTGGGGCTTTTTCTAAAATGTGCTGGTAAAAGGAAATAAAACGATTCTGTGCGACTTATAAGTGTTTGTTTTTTTTTAGAGCGAAGGAACTCTTTCACAGTTCGAGCTGAATGTAGTGTTTGTACTGCTCTCACTAGAAACTCAAGAGTAAACAGCACGCTGATGTCCCCGTCTATGAAGGATCTGAATAATGAATGTTTGTAGTTTTGGAGATGAGTGTTCTTCTGGACTGGACTTGAACAGAGGATGAAAGTAAACCTAAATGTTTTGGTGCAAGATATTCAGGAGGGTAAGGAGTTGCACTGTGGAGAAGAACAGAGGGAGCTTTTTTTGTTTACTTGTCCGATTCAGAGCAGAGTGACGGTCCTGACGAGTGGAGGGAGCATTTTATCCACCAACAGGTCCAGTGGTGGAGCCAGGGGGTGGCCATTGGTGGCCTTGGCCACCATAGATTATTTTTTGGCCACCCCAATCATTTAAGGATTTTTTTTTTTAAGTAATATAAAACTAGAAACAGTTTCCTCAAATGATGATGGTGGCCGGTTTACATATCTACAGTATAAATATGGTGTCAAACGTTTTTCTCCATGACCAGACACAACAGCAGTATATATGGCGGTGGCCATGTGGGATTTTAATGTGACATCCCAATTTTCAAAAAGGAACTTATGTGGCCACACACCCAGGAAATAGGCCCATTGCTTATTTTTCAACTTCAACTTCCTGGACCACACCTGCCTCCACAACTCATTTGCCCCACAGTGGGCCCTTGAGCAAGGCCCTTATCATCTGCTCTTCCGGGCACCCTCGTTAGCAGCTCCCTGCTCCACTGAGAGGGCTGTGGTAGCTCGGTGGTCTGTGGTTGCATCAGGGAGGGAATCCGGCGTAAAATCAATTGCCAAGTCTTCGTGTGAGTTAGTTCACTGCGGAGACTCCTGAAGAAGGTTTCAAGGCTTTTTATTTGTCGTTCGCACCTCATGTGGTACATGTGGTGGAGCAAAATTATGTACACAGGGTCCCAGTTACATCCAACAATAAAAT